GTAGTATATGTAGTATATGTAGATATGTAGTATATGTAGTATATGTAGTATATGTAGTATATGTAGTATATGTAGTATATTTGGTATATGTAGTATATGTAGTATATGTAATATATGTAATGTATATACTATAATAATATATTTAATATATTTAATATGTGTAATAAATGTGATAAAAGTAACATATATAATATACGTGGTATATTCTTTATTTGATTGAAGACATCAACTTGGACTGCTTAGACTCAATCGGCGTGTATTGTTTCAAGAAAATCTCTACATAATCCCAATGCGACCTATATTTTTTATAATTTTCAAAACCCAACTGCTTCTGCTTCTCGAACGCGTGGTCAGATTTTAAGATTTCGTGCCAATTGTTCAGATTATTGGCGAATAGGCCTGCTAATGAGGACAGGTAGAGCTTAAATCCCTTTCTCTCCGCCCTGCAGCCCTGTGGGCAGGTGGAATCTAAAGCGCACTGAACAGGTCAGCTTGCCCAGGTAGATGAACGTGCGGGCGAGAGGATCTATTCGGGGTTTTCTACTTGAAATAGTTGAGTCAATTGTAAAGTCAGGGTCAAAGGCGAAGGTCGTTAAAGTCGTAAAAGTACAAAGAGCTGTGGAAAAAATGCAGCTCTAGGAATTTCCCGGCTGTTGTAAAAGCATTTTGAATGATTCCGAAATCCGAATCTGGGAAAAGGCCAAGAAGATCATCATGATGATGATGAGGATGGGAGTTGAAGCGACTTGGCCGACTTGGCACTTGGCGTTAGGACTGTCTTGGCTGTGGTCCTACCTAAGCGCCGGCGGCAACAATCGGCGAGCAAAGTTATCACATTGAGTATGTAACTACATTTATCACAACCTAATATGACAAGTCGAATAACTTTTGCCGGACTACCCGGCACGGCCCCGCACCACCGACCCGGCGGCCATCATCCTTGTGAGTTGTCTTGACAACTCGCTACCCCTTGCTCGCTCTCCGTCCCTGTCTGCCTTTGTGGTATCTGTAGCTGTCCAAGCATTTGAGTTTCGCTAATTGGAACATATTTTTCTGCATCAGCTTCAGCATCGGTTGTGCTGCCTCCCCGCTCTGGCTTTTACTTATGGGGATCTACGCAACGTACGTACGTCTTGCGGCATGATGTACGTGCGTTCAGCTTGGGATTTATGCATCCTTCTTCAGCTGAATGAAGATATCAGGCAATATATTTTGAAGCTCTCTTGTCGCAAGTGCAAATAGTTGGGACTATCGAAATTCGTAGCCTTACTACAAGTTGCTTCAGGGCAGGGCTGTCCCTCCGCCGTTGGGAGGGAAAGGAGCGTGGAGCGCATCAATAATTCATAACGCTAATTAATAACGCCCCACTTCAAATGTTGCGTGCCCCAACAACGGGCGAGCGGAGAGCCAAAAGATGAAAGCCAAAAATGCCGCCCTATGCACATAACAGGATAATGAACTCGAGACACCACGCCCACACAGCGACCCCCGCGCACCGCTGCTGCCGCTGCCGCAGCCATTGCCATTGCCTTATTGAAATTCAAATAAACCGCGTTTCTTTCTTTTTGGAACGAAGGAGTTTTTGATTGCGCTCAGCTTAACTTTTAGTTTCTGGGGTTTTCACTACTCAATTTTTGTGGTTGTGTGAAGCGCAGGGCATGTGGCGTTTATGGTGAAGGAAGCGCGTCAAAATCTATAATTCTGTTAAGCATATATATATAGATATTTGTAGATATCTATCCCAGTTCTTCTGCTGTTTCGATGTGCTTTGTTTTGTGCTCTTGAAAAGTCAAAGTTGCTAGACTTACTTCCATCTATATATAGCTAAAATATCTCAAAAAGAATTATTAATTATTATATTGATTTCCTCAGCTCAGGATGTCAGTTTGATCCTCAGGCTTCTAATATCAATGCCTATCTCATTCACAACTTTGCTCTCATTACTTTCCCAGTTTCGAGTGTTATTTCGCTCTCAAGCACAAACTCGTTCAGTCGATAGAGCATGCAATAGTCGCACAACTCTTTTGAGTTTCTCCCTACCCCGTTTTTGTTTTTATTATTATTTTAAATCCTTTTTTTGGCTATCGCTGTGTTCGCATCACGCCTTAGGTGTAAAAATAAATGTTTAAAGTAACAACTTCTTAAAGAGCTGAATTATGGGCCACATGCGAGCGAGTGCTGGGCCCCCGCATAACTTGGGAAGCGGTTGAATTGCCATCAATCTGTGGATCCTTAGAGAAAGAGAGACCGCGAGTGAGTAGGAGGAGGCGAGCGGCGCAGCGAGAGAGCCTTGGCTCGAGCCTGAGCCTATAATTTGTACAAATTTGTTGGACTGATTGATGCGACGGCGGCGCGTTTTGTCTTGCCACAAAGTTGACCAAAGCGGCGCGCCAAAAAATCTATTAAACAACAACTCCAATGCACTAAAAATATATGCATGTATATATATGTATGTGTATATGTATTTAAGAAGCAGCTGCTGCTTGACAGTTGCTGTTTATCAAATGCTCATTTCTTATGCCGCTGCATATACAAAGGTGAAAGTTCTTCCGGCGCTGTGCCTCGCTCATAATCCTTGCCTACTATTCTAATACAAATGTGCCCCAAAAACCCAACTCCAAGACAATGGCATTGAGTTGTCAAGTGTCAGCGTTGACATTGAAAGAATGGCATAAAGGTGAAAAAGTAGGGCGAGGCTAGGGCTAAGGCTCTATGGGAAATGGGCACCCAGTTGGCCGAGTGCAAATGGTGACAAAGGTTTGTTTCTCTTTCCTTTTTTATATCAGTATCTTCTCATTGTTCTGCTGCTCTTTAATGTGTCAAAATATAGTCCAAGAGCGAGTGTTTTTTGTGCTGTAAAAGTGATTTATTATTCGGGGCGTGGGAGCGAACAATCGTTCGAACAATCGACTCGAAAAAGGATTTGAATTGAAGTGGAAAAAGAAGAGAACATATTAAATAAATAGTTTTTGAATATGGACTAGAGTTGTTGTTTAAGCTGCCCCTTGAAGCACCCAGAAATTGTAGAATCAAGAGCAATATTATAGCCAATGACTAGATTTCAGCAGCTGGTTCAAGCTATCGAGAGCAAATCAATTCGATTTTAAATTGGTTCATGAAGAGCTCATCAAAATGCCAGCTCAATTTTTGATAGACAATGGGAACTAATGAATCGCGTAATGCTGATTCGAGTCGAGCAGATTGAGCAGTGACAGTCGCCATAGCAAATCGCACGAAAAAGAACCAGAAAAGTCGATTCGGCGCCAACATTCGGCATTCACACATATTGAATCGATTCATCCAGTATTTGAATGTTTTGCTATTTCATACATCGAATGACATATACAAAGAGAAAGAATTGTTTATCTTTTTCTATTGCCATTATTTGTTCAGCTCAAGCTAAGAATAAAGCTTTCTTTTGAATGTTTCGTTTAGATAAGGCTCTAAAAGCACCAGCTGAGAAAGATATAGCAAATAATACAGTGTAGTATATATATATACATGTATATATATATATATTATTGTAATTCCTCATGTGGCGAAAGAGGAATACTTAATACTTTATAACAATAGAGTAGAGAGAAGTTCATATGAACAGGCGGGCAGATGGAAACAAATTTGTTGTAAGCAAACATATATAAACTTATATATACATCATATAATTTGTATATAATACATAAAATTGAGAACTAAATCTTTAGATTGATATAGTTATAGCTTATTCACGCACACTTCTCAACTATTTATAAAAATATTTGCTCCGTAATCGATTCTAATAATAATATCTAGTCTTCTATTTTAGCATAAAAGCAAACTAAATTGGGAGTGTCCTGCTAGAAGATACCCTGACCACAGCTTAGAGCTGCTATATCATTTAGTCTACGCTTCTTTTATACATATGCACATGGCAAACAACAGAAGTACTCTCATCCGCTTTGAATAGGAAGTTTTGAAAACCTCTAAAAATGTCGACTTTTTCCATGATCCGTTACAGTATGCATATGTATATTCTGGCTGATTTTATCTGATTATAGTCTTTGAAGTAGCTGCCGCCTATTTCCGCTTTGCGAAATGCTCAAATTTCATTTGAAATAGCATATCTGTGTGGAAGTTATTTGAATTTGCTGGCGATAACAGTTCTGAGTACTGTCTTTGACTACACCACTGCCTTTCTCCCTCGCTCTCGCTGTATAGTCCATATAGCTATCTCTGTCTTGGACGCCGTCTCGCTCAAGTGTTTCAAGAGCACGCGTCAAGGGCGTCATTTTTTTCCTTTACTTTTTATCAGCTCTTGTGGCCTCTGAACCTGGAACCTACCTGCGCTTTTTACCCCCTCTCCCGTGCGTGTGTGTGTCTGTTTTTTTTTATACGTTTAATTTGAATTTTTATTTTTAGTTTTCAACCACGCGCCACATCTTACGCCTACCCTGAATTTAGGGGCTTTTACTTTTAGTTCGACCCAATGCCGAGCTACCTGATGATGTTGCTCCGCTGATAATGAGACGCGTGTCGAGCGGATTAGCTCAGCTCTGGGTAGAAAGTGAAAAGGGTTAAGAGCTTGGCTCTTGCAGCCGGCTTAGGCTTGCCGTTTGAGCCAGGTCTGCTTCACTTTGAAACAAACGTTTTTTATGCTTACGAATTTGATATTTATTTCATTTACAACAACTAATTAACATTTAATAATTAGTAATAATAGAAAAAAAATGTTTTATATGATATTTTATGAACTGGTGTCGAGTTGCTTAAAATATTTCAACCTAAACTAGACAAAAAAATTCTGCTTAAGCTAAAAAAAAAAATAAAATATATATATGATGTTTATATGCATTAAAATAATATTTTTAATATAGAAGGTAAAAAAAATGGTTGGCTTAAATGTAGCTAGGCTAAGAACTGAGTCTATTTACAATTTGAGGCACTTGGTTCAACTCAAAACATTGACTAGATAGCAAAACAGCAGGAATTAAATTGAAGTTTTGAAATTTGTTGTTGTTGTCTTTCTATTGCTCCTGCCAGAGCGATATATAGTCGAGAATTTCTTCGTCGTCGGGCGTGCAGTCCTCCTCGTCGAGCTGAAAGTGCTCGTACGGCTCGAATTTTAGCTGCAGCTGAGCATCCATGGCGGCCACAGGAGGCGACAATTGCTGCGGCTGCGCCTCGTACGTGCCCGAGTCGAAGGACATGCTGGAGTTGAATGAAGATGTGGGCGAGTGGCAGCCACCAGCAATATTTGTCGTAGCTGCCGAACTCATCGCCGCATTCGCTGGCTGTGCAGTGTTGGCGTTCAGTGTGATTGGCGTTAGCGGATGATTGGGATATTGTTGACGCTGCAATTGCTGCTGCTGCTGCAGGGCTGTGGGCGTGGCGGCTTGAGTTAGCAGCGCGCTGCTGTAGTAGAGCTGCTGTGCCAGCTGCTGGCTGGCACTGGAACTGACACTGGAGCTGCTGCTCGAATTGGAGCTCTGGCTGCTGGTCTCGTCCAGGCACAAATTGAACTGGGCTGCCGTTGGCGTGCAGCTGTTCGCGCTCGGTCCGCCATTCAGATCGTCGACCAGGTCCTGCAGGCGCCGTATATATTCGACGGCGATGCGCAGCGTGTCCACTTTCGAGATTTTCTTGTGCGGTCCCCGGCCGCCGCCCTTGGTCAGATCCGCAATTATGGACTGGGGTATGTGCTGGCGTAGCCGGGCAAAGCTGTTGTTCACCTGCTTGACGCGATTCCGTTCCCGGGCATTGCGGCGCTGCACAGATTGCGACTGATCGACGTTGTAGGGCGACGAGCAGCTGGAGGATGATGAGGAGCTGTTGCTGCTGTTGCTGGAGGAGGCATTGGCCAATGCCATGCCACGCGGTGTGTATTTGCGTGTCTTGATCAGCGCGGCGCCACCGTTGCTCGACTTCAGCTCCGGTGCAGGCATTATGTGCTGATAGCGATACATTTTCGTAGCGCCACCGATTGTTGTGGGGAATAGCTCGGCGGTATTTTTGCCGACGGCGCTTGCATTGAACACCACACTTGACATCGCGCTATCTCTCTCTCTCTGTCTAGCACACGCACACACGTTTAACAAAAAAAAATATTTTTTTTTATTTATTTATAAAATAGTTTTTCTTTAGTGCAATTTGTTACAGTTTCTTTTGTTGGCAACGCAAGAATTTGTTATTTGTTTGCTTAGCGTAGCTCAAGTTGATCGTTTGACACCTTGCACAAGAATGAGTCCCTTCGTCCTAAACCTTCATGTTTTGTACCTTTCGCATTAAGCAAACGGCGCACAGCAAACTCACTCAAGCATCGCTCACTCTCTCGCTCTGTCCCTCTCTTTTGCTCGCTCAGGTTCGCTCTCTCGGGTCGCTTACCTGTGCAGCGACTGCAACCACCTGGCAATTGAGTCAGCGTCGTTGAGCCACAGGTAGACATAGAGCAACAGCGCTGTGCTTTGAGCTCTCTCAAACTCAAACTCAACTCCATCTCTCTCTCTCTCTCTTTGTCGATCTTTGGCCTGTTCGCTCCTGCTTTTGCCTGAATCGAAGATAAGCCACTCGAAGTGTTCCCACTCAGGCAATAAGCAACAATTGTACTCAGGGCTTCAATTTGAGTGTCTTTTACATATTTTTCTGATTGAGGATCGTTATTTGAGTTGCTTGTACATATTTTAAGACACAGAGAGAGAGAGAGAGAGAGAGGATCACTAACGCGCGTACCAAGACGAATATCAGCTTTATTTGAAGCATATTTTCGAATGATCGTGGGGATTGCTAGATCTTTTCTGATTGAGACTTAGGCGAGGATCACTTGTAAACTAGCAAAGGATCATATATAACTTTATTCAATTGATCGTGTTGATCTAAGTTACTCAGACCTCAAGTAGATCAGTTAGCTAAAGTCACTCCACTCTTGCTCTAGCTCTCAGAGCTTTGTAATGTATTTTCAGCTGCCAGGATCAAGCGGCTCAAAGGCTCAATTGCCTCAAGTCTTCTTTTATGATTTGAGTGTGTTTTTTGTCTGATTGAATTGCGATGGCTCAATGTGTCGAGCTTTGATTTCGAGCTGCCAGAAACTGTTCCCAGTGCCAAGTTGCGCTCAACTGAATTTGAGCTGCTGCGAGGATCAGTAGCTTGCATTTGAGCAATTGCAACTGAGAGTTTAGCTGGCAGCTGGCTGTCCTGCACTGTGTGTGCCTTTATGGCTTTTGACTGACGCTGAGGCTGAGGCTGACTTGGCATGCCAGCAATTTGATTTCCGTGTTAATTAACTTAGCAAAACTCGCGATCGTCGTCTTCACTCTTTTTAGCAGCCCATTTCATGTGCAGCTCACGCACACGCCCCTATTCATTAGCGCCGGCACTGCAAGACCAAGAAGAACTGAACGGCAAAGAACGCCAGAAGTTAAGAACTCGCCCCCAAAACGCTTTGGCATGCGCGTGTCACCAGGCCTGTCTGGCTCGCTTTGCTTATTAGCTATGCAGAGTGAGGCTCGAGTTAGGTGTTCGAACAATTTCACATATGCCTCTAATTAAACGATCAACAAGATCACAAGTTTTTCCATGCACGCTGCAAACTTCCGTTTGACACTCTACCTACCTGGCTACCAGCCTACCTACCTCCCCCTCTCTCTCATTCTCTGCCTCTCTCTCTCTTTCTGTGTCTGTCTCTATTTCTTTTTGCCTGCTCATCGAACGTTTGATCAGTGCGATCTGCGGCCAGGTGCTGCTGCCGCTGCTGTTTGTCGTGTTTCGATTTTCGATTTGGTTTTATTCTGGCATTGTTTTTCACTCTTTCAACTCGTTCCCATTGTTTGTTTTGGCCACATTTTTGTGCTGAACCATCATCGATCGAAACGGTAGCCGTGTCAATTTTCCCATTTTCCCGTTTTCCATTTGCCAAAAGCCGAAAACCCTTTTTGACAGCCATGACCATGACCGAGCGACTGATCAACCAACCGATCGACTGATCGCCCGACCGGCGCTGTTTACTTTGACAATTTGCGTAGCGTTCTCCTCGTGCTTGCATGCTGCAGATTCAATTCTTTTTCTGCATTGTAATGCCGCAGGGAGCTCTTTGGCTTAGACTCCATTATTTTGGCATCATTAACACTTGCATTGTTCGACATTCTCTTTTCACTTTTCGCATGTCCTTTGACATATCCCTTCCCTGCCTTTCCTTTCCTTTCCGCTTTTGCTATTCAAATTGATTTTGATAAATGCAAAACTCTCTCCACCCTTGACATCTGAAATTCCTGCTGAAATGTTCAGAATAGTTTTGCAGATTTTTCTACTGTGTTTTTTTTTTGTGCGGTTGGCTTTTGTCTGACCCGTAGAATGCTTGCTGGCTGCTGATGGCGCCCATTGTTATAGAGAATTTCAGTATTTGCAGCATATGTTAGCTCGTTGGGTTCAAGTGGTTTTGCGTAATGATTGTCAATTGCAGAGTATAGATCGTGTCAATAGATCGGCTAATGGTCAGTCAAAGTACGACAATTGTTCGCATACGGATCTGATGGATCGAAAGAGGATCGGCTTATGCTTCACATATATCACGTATGTATATGGATTAGCTCTAGTCTTTGACTATTGTTAGGCAGTGCATTTGACAATTAGACAATTAGGATAGCTTGCAACTAATGCACGATCATGATTAAATACGTGATGCTTAAATCAGTGATCTTTGCCGTGTACAAAGATCGCAAGCTGATCTTGTTCTATGTGTCTATCTAGAATCATCTGCAGGCAAACCAAAAAGAGTGCCTTTTGCAGTGGAAGTCCCTATGCTTATGCAGCATGTGCCACAGATCAAACGATCGTAAAATCAGGCTTGCCTTACTTCAAATCTATAGACATATATGTGTATCTTAATATTTTGCCGGCAGATCAAAGAAATGCTCTGCGATCAAGAAGTTAAATCTTTTACATATGAGAAACACGTAAGACTTGACCTTTGACTATACGCAGATCGCTGATGAGTGATGGCTGATGGCATGGCTTTACCTGCTAGTTCGAGTAAGGACTGGAAATAGGATCTGTTATCAAAACTGATCAGCTGATCTTTGCCAAAATGCTGAGCTGCAGATTATATGACTTTAAACTGCCCCCACTCTCTCTCTCTCTTTTGCTGACCAACAACAACAGCTCCCGCCTTGGCCGCCGCGTCATATACTTTGCAACGCTTGGAAGATTTAAATGCATAATTATTTTGATATGATGCATAGTTCCGGGAGACGCGGACCAGGCAACAGCAAGACCAGGGCGCGTGTGTTAATTGCATGCGAGCGAGATAGATAGAGAGAGAGAGAGAGAGAGTGAGCGCGAGGCAGGACTGGCATATCCTGCACTGAAACTGGGGCGCGTTTTTCCAATGAAACTTGAAATGCAAAAAATGAATGTTAATTGAAACGAGTTTCCGCCAGGACCTGCCTGTTAGCCTTTGCACGCCCCTCTCCCTGCCCCCGGCTGTTAGCCCGTCTCCCGTACTTTATTAGGCCACTATGCCCAGTGCTCCGGCGTAGTCCAGGCAACCGAGTCGTAGTTGTTGTTTATCCCTCAGTCATTTTCGTAGTTAATATTTTAATTAAATGCAGGCACAGGACTCGGCCGACTCGAATGCGAGCTGACGCGTGGCAGGTGTATTTACGCGACCAAACATCACGAATCGCTGCGCGATCGCTGGCAACGGGGCACGGGCTTAGAGACAGCTCTCTCGCTCGCTTGCTCTCGCTTTCTCTGTCTACGGCTGCAGCTGAAAATGAACGCACACAAATCCATTTGGCTAGGGGTTGCCTGTCTCGTATCCAAAAACCAAAAAAACACACACAGGGGAAACAAAAAAAAAAGAAAAAGAAACAGACACACTAAATAGGGGAGCTGAACTGAGCCCTCGAAGCGTCCACGCGACCGTGCGAGCGGCTCATTGAACTTTGTGTGCGCAGCCAGCGCAAAAGTTCACGACGCCAAAATCCAAACTTTGCCAAGCTGAGATCGACGTTCAGCTTTCTGATTCTTTGTTTTCTTTTTAGGACTACTCTGTAAATTACTGTCGATTGGCTATGGCGTGCAACTGGCACTAGTAATGGAACTGAATATCTAGCAAATAGCTATTCAAGTAACTGAACTAGTTCATATGAACTTGAAAAGCTTTTCATGAGCGTTAAGCGTGCAATTTTATAGCAATCTTTTAAAAGTTGCTATTAAATTATAATGACGAATTTTAGCTAAGGAACTAGTACTTTTGAACAAAAACATTTCAGTTAGCTTTCAATGTATATTACAATTATTTAATAATTCTTTTAAAACATTGTAGACTTTGTAGGATTAATTACTGAAATAGTTTATGGAACTAAAGTGTATGAACTAGTTCATATGAACTGTCAAACTTTTGAGATTTTACACTTTGGTTAGCAAATATAAGCTTACAATTATTTTACGGCTAAGGATAAGTATTTTAGCTTATGAACTAGCTCATGTGAACTGTTAAAGTATGGAGTTTCAACAATATGACTTGCAAACATATATCTAAAATTATCTTTCGATTATGAACTAGTTCATAAATTAAAATACTCTTATTTTAATTTATGAACTAGTTCATAAATTGATTATTTATTAATTATAGAAGTATTTTAGTTGGTGAACTGGTATAAATTAGATTAAAGAGCATCTGAATTGCGCATTTGCTTGGCATAGAAAAAGTTTTGGAATAAATTTAGTTTTGTTTTATTTCTTGGTTTGTTTTTGTTTTGGAGGTTTGCTTTATGAGTAGTCGCGGGCCAGAGGGACAAACCCACAAAGACAGACACAGCTGATAACTATCATTACCCGCAGCGACAATGTGTGTGCGTGTGTGTGTGTGTGTTTGGCTTTTGTTTTTGTATTTGGCTACAATTCTGCGGTCTGAACATGAGCCTGCTTCGTCTGATCATCATCCATTTTGATGTGCTGCAAAGGAAAAGGCAAACGGCAACAGGCAACAGTCAAGGGGCAAGGGGCAAGAGGCAAGTTGCAAGAACAAACGGCAGTAGCACGCACCATTAGA